CAATTTTTATTTGAACATATTTGTGAGATTAACCTAAACCATGGGCCTGGGCTGCAATTTGCCCTTCTGATAAACAAGGATAAACAGAACCGGTACTAGCTGAGAAACGAGATCTGGCAGTAAACAGAGCATTATTGAAGAATGTTATTTTCAGCAGTGCAGCTGCTTGTCTCTGACAAATTAAAAAGGGAAGCATCTGCAAGGCACAACGGGAAGAAAATACTCCAGGAGAGGTTTTATCAAGAGTCAGAGGTAATAGTCCTGTGGAGACAGTCTTCTGGTGCTCTGGAAAGTGTTATGATGCTAGATGTTAGCATTCAGACAGCCAAAGTAGGCATTTGTATGCGTTGTGCAAGGAATGGTGTGTTATTTAAGCATGCTTTCTTCTAAGGGTCTGTATTCTCTAATTCTCTGTGAATACGTGTTTTAGAAGGGTTTTTCCCAGAGGAGGAGGGATTTCACCCTTCAGTGCTTCTGGTAAGAGAGAGGATATATAGACTGTCTTCCTGTGTCTTCTCCAGGCTGACACCAGTCCCTCTCAGTCCTTGTTTTTGTTTGGGCATTTTAATAACAGGATGAAGACAAGCACAGGAAAGCTCCTACCGAGTAGCATGCCCTGCCTCTTGTGGAGCTGTCACCTGAGTTGTCCCTCCAGTTCTGCCGTGGCAGCAGGTTGGGAGCCTGTGGCTGCCCTCTTCTCACACCTGCAGCCTGCACCTCCAGAAGTGCATTTCGTTTGCACTGTGGCTGTGGGTTAACATCGTTAGGCCACAGAAGGAGGAAAGGAGTTTATATTTATGTGTGAAGTGTGTGCGTGCCATTCCAAGAATTGCCTGAGAGAAAGTGGAAATAACATTTACAGTTGGCCAGAACAGCCTCTTAATTTGACTTGGCATTTATGATTTCCCATGCATTTCTTAAAGAGTCATCTTTTCCTGCTGTGTTTAAGTTAACTGTGGTCCATCCAGTCTCGGTGCTGTGTCCTACCTGAGGCACCACCCCAGGTCCATGAAGGCAAGCTCTCTATGTCTCCTTTCCTTCAGCTCAGCAGTGGGAATCCCTACCTGAGGCTCTGCTTGGAGCTGCCCACTACAAGGTATCTGTCTGTCTTCCAACCCTTCTCTAGGATGGTCATTTAGCCTGGCTTCTGTAAATCAGAGTGCCCAGATATTTCAGAATATGCAGACTCAGACAAGTCTTCCCTTCGACTATACTGGTGGTCAAGACTGTATTACAGAAGCAGCTACAGCTCAGTAGCAAAGACCCACGGGGAGACAGTGCTGGCCTTGCAACACTGGCTTTCAAAGTTTTTGGAGGTCTGTACACCAGAGAGGGCTGTCCTGAAAGACACCACGCACCCCAGCCTGGCCGTGCTTATAAAGCAAAGGCTGCATCTACAGCGTCAGGTTTCTTGGTTCTGAGTAAGAGAAGAAAGCTGTATGTGCTCACTTGTGTACTTGTGGCAAGCAGAGAAAGGATGTTCTATAGAATTAATTCTAATAGCACTTAGATGACTCCTGTGGTGTCCATGACTGATTCAAAGGGTGCAGTGAAAGAAGGGCTCAAGCCCATATTCCAGGGAAACACTGCTGGGTGTCTCATGCTGGCTGGACTACAGCTCTGACCTTTGTCTGGAGGACCTCAGTCCTCTAATTATGTTTCCCTGGACAAATCCAGTGAGATGTACAGAGCCTAAGATAAATACAGTTTCTACAGTCCTTGGCACAAAAAAGTTAACCCATGTAGTTTATTAAATGTCTTTCAGCTCTTGTTTGGTCATGTTTATCCATAGGTGACTGACTATTTTCAATGCAATTATACTGGAGGGAACTGGCAGGGTTTGCTGCAGCAAATTCCTTCAGCTACCCAAAACCCAGTCTAGGGCTTGGTGCTTAACATGCTGCTGTGGTACAGACACATCCTTTAAACATCAAGAAAGAGATGTGGATCGGGGGTTTTTTCTTCAAAAAAATGACATTTTGAAGTAGGTTAAATCTACCTCTTTTCCACATTTTCTCAGAGAGAGATTTCTTCTAGCTAGTGTACGTGCTTTCCATGAGAAATTATTTATGAGCTCCTCAGTCCCTTGTCTACTCTTCTTGATGTAACAATAGTAGATCTGGAGGAATGACCAGGGTTAGGTTTATAGTTTCACTTCAGATGTAGTGCCAAGTTATTCAGTACTTCGTTTTGTTAGTGCCTGAACCAAAGGGCAATTTATCTCAGCAATGTCCTTCAGATTATACCTATATACCATTTTGCCAATAAGGCATGCACCTGCTGCTCCAATCCCAGAAGAAATCAATGTTTCATTTCAGAGATGCCAATCCTTTGCTCTCTCTCCTTTTGCCATTCTTGTGAAGACAAACTTTTTTAGGGGGTGTGGGAAGAAATACATAAGGATTGTGGAAAAACCTTGTCTATTTCAGCTACCTCATCCTGTTTAATTATGAATAATCCACCAGTTTACTGTAGGGCATGGTTGTCAGGGTTTATGTGATCAATATATATGAATAGGAGAGGGTATATTCTTTGCTGGAGTTCCCTCTAAGAGGCAGTCTAGGACTTTTGCAGTCCTAGTGGGAGGTGTAAGATGTGACCATGTCATTACTGGCTTTGCTGGGCAAATGCAAAAGTGTAGCTCAGCTCCTTGCTCACAGCCAGTTATCTGTCCTGGCACTTGTATAATTATAATACATGTTTTATTGCTTGTCAATATTTTAACCTTTCTGACACATTATCCCCTAGGGCAACTGAGCAACCTTAATAATATAGCTGATAATTATCTTCCACATGAATAAAGTTATCACTAGGGTCCTGTATAAATCACATGGAAAAGATGACAGATTTCACTGGCTGGTCATCACAAAAACGGGAAGAGGCACAGATTGTGACAGCTTAATAGGGAAGGTAATAAAACCAACAATAAAGTCATTTATAATATAAGCAATGGTTCTCAGGCCCTTCTATTTGTTTTCATGCTAATAGAAGATAAATGTCAGATTAGGAATAAGACCTGAAATTTCTATTAAAAATATTTGGAAAATGTCATTAAATATCAGCAATTCACAGCTCAAGAAGTGGCAGCATGAGTCTTAATTACCTGTGTGAGGTCCTTGGAAGCAAAGTGGGGATAATAGTATTTGCTTTGCTGTTTCCTGGGGGTCTGTGAGGAGTAATGTTTCTACAGTGCTGAGGGCATCAGGACGCTGTGCTGTCCATGCAGGCAGCAGCTACCCCTCGCTTCTGGAAGGAGCAAGATGTTGTGTGGTGCCTCGGCAAGAGGAAGCCTTTTGCCCACTGGAGGGCAGTGGGAGAGACACCCTGTCAGGGATCCCAAGTTGGGTACATCATGACTGTTTTGGCAGGCCTCAGGTTTCACATGAACCCAAGCTGCCTTTATAAACCAAAAAATATGTATGAAAGACATCAGTGCAGATGTGAAAAAAGCCTGCAGCAGTAATGGAGTAGTGAGAAAGGGGAGAGTGCATTATACTGTATATGAAGGTGTAAGACACACTCACTCAAAATACATGAATCATAGAATCATAGAATCGTCTAGGTTGGGATCATCGAGTCCAACCATCTACCCTACTCTACAAAGTCCTCCCCTACACCATGTCCCTTAGCACCGGTCTTTACGTCTTTAAGTTTATATAGTATTGCTAGTTAGTCCTCTGGAATGCACGCTGTGAAAATGCACCAACAAAGGGTTTGGGAGTGCGGGTGAGCGGTGGTGGGGATATGGAGTGAGCAGAAGTGTCCTGGGGAATGGCAGAGTGGGTGCTGCCTGGGCACAGACCCTTTCTACCAGCTGCCAGCGAAGCTGATGCTGCTGTGGCTGGAAAAGCAGGAATGGCTCTTCCCAGCGAACAGCCTGGCCTGGGCCGTCCTGGCTCTGGGTGGACTCTTCAGCGCCCGTCTCGGCACAGGAATTAACCTGAGGATGTCTCTGGGACACAGGCTGGGGAAAGGAGAGGGGTGGAAGTTCGTATTTGTGTCTGTGTTTAACATTCGTGGAGCATTCTCTCGCTTGCACTTCTTCTAAACAGGCACTTTGAGGTCTGAGCCCTGGTGCCTCTAATCTAGTGAGCGCCTTATTGATCAAGTCTTGCCATTTGATCCCCCGAGCTGCCCAGTGTTGCACAGAAAGGGTAAATTGCTCCTTATACTTTAAAACAATCAGAATGTTTTTGGAGCATGTAGACCCGTATGATAAATACAGAGGCACAGCTGGGATGAGAATAGCAAAAAGCAGAGGGATAATTAACAGCTGGAACACCACAAACCGGTTCCCTAGCCCAAGCCCTGGAGGAACACGATACATTCATCATGTTGCTCTCCGGGCTGATGCCACAGCTCTGGGGTGTGAGGTATTGAATTACAGTCTCTAGAAAATATTGTTTGGGGAATGTTGAAGAGAGCTGGTAAACAATGTGCTGGAAGGTGACAGATATGTTTGCAGCTTCATATAGTGCTTTCACAATAAAAAGAGCCATCCGGGGTTTTCCCATCACTGCCCTGCTCGTCAGAGCTGGCAAGCAGCAGGCTGTCTGCCAGGCCTTGGTGGGGGAAGTCAAACCCAGCAGCCAGTGGGCTTGCTTACTTCTGACAACTGCTTTCTTTAAATGATTATTTTATTACTGAGAGTACAACACTAACAATGGCTGATGAATCTCAAGCTTAATGAAGCACCATCTGTGATTCAGCTGTTGTAGAAAGCAACATATAGAGAGCTCTTAACACTGGCTTTGGACATGGTCTAGCCTGGGAACCCCTTCTGGGCTGTCCTCTCCTTGGTATGGTGTCACAGAGGATGCCATAGAGGCTCCTAACCCAGAGCCACTGTCCACATAATCTGGGCATAACCAGCAATGTCCTGAGGGCTCCTAAGCTCTCTCACCAGGAGCTGCACTGCAGCCACACGAAGGTGGGGATGGTGGAGGCAGCCAGGATCTGCTTTGATCTTTTGCTTTATTTTCTATCCCCCTTCTTCACAGGGAATCATTCAGAAGACTTTGATCTAGGATGACACTTCACTCCTACAAACCTGCCAGCAAGTCATGGCAGTCTCCCCCTGAGTCAAGCTCCCGGCTTGCTCCAGTGCTGCCTGTCTCTTCAGCATCCTGCGTAACCTCATCAGTGTCCACCCGTGAGTCACGCCGTAAAGCACACACCAAGGTAAAGAGGGGGGAATACTGGGTTCTCTCTCAAATGCTGCATTCCTCTGGCAGCAAAAAATAAGCGCTCACTTACTTCATTAATTAAATGGGTGACTCCCACAGCCGCTATAATGAATGGTGTCTGTGCACAGGGGGTGAACAGGAGATTAATGGTCAGATTTTCTCTGTGTGTTGATGAAAGCGGGAGTTTTAAGGTGGTCTGCTACCTGTTAAAAAAACCCGTGATAATCTCAAAGAGAGAAAAAGACACACAAGAGCTGTTTACGTGGGAAAATCTACAAACAGCAGTATGTTTCTCCTAGAGGGATTTTCCTGCACATGTAGCGAACGCTCCCAGCAGTACTGGAACATATGATGCCCACCTGGATGTCTGGTGAGGATGCATCAGATGCTTTCTGCAGAAGATGTGTGATTTAGGGTTTTTCCATTCTTGCTTATGAGCCACCTTCAAGGGGGATGGGTTGTAACTTGTATGGCATTACAAATACTGCTCTGGAAATCCTGACTGCATGGGAGGCTCTGAACCAGAGAGCTCCAAGCCACCTGCTCCTTGCAGGAATCCTTACATTATTATGAAAATCCATGAGGTCCAGGTTATGGACTTTGAGGCCAGAAGAAGACACAGCAATGGCCTACCCTGATGTCTTACCTGGTGATAGGTCTTCCTGCAAAAACTGGAAAGCTTTATAGCCAAAGGGAAAAAATTGTCCAGTGTTGGAGCCATTTCTGCCCTCCTGGCAAAACTCTTCCCATTATGAACTGCCTCTGCTTTTGAAATGTTCCTTTTCAGACTCTTGCCCTCATGCACTCCAGGACTGCCCAGGTACTGCATGGGGAAAGGAAATATTCTTGAGCAGGCTGTGGTTGTTGAGCTGCAGGGTGGACTGGTATGCTTGTTACAGAGCGTGTCTCATGTTGGTAGCCTCAAGAAGGAACTGTAGTTCTCAGGGGAGCACAGTGCGGGGTTTCACTACTCCTCATGTGGCACCTCGTAGTGCATTCTCAGTGTGAATTTCTACCCTGTCCCTGCACCTTGGGGAGCAAAAATACTGTTATGTGTAGCAGTGGAGAAAGACACTTGAAGGAAGAGACAGTTGCAGTTAGCAACTCCGTTTATGGTGTGCTTCCAATGTGAGAGAAAGGGATGAGATGTCACAGATGAGGTGGGAAGTGAGATGTTAGACAGGAGGGAGCATTGAGGAAAAGCAGGCAAGAGCTATTTGGTTTTATTTTAACACCTGACACTATCTAGCTGTATTTCACCATCTTTCTAGGGAAGCACCAAGAGACCTGAGGGGTGGGAGGTTTTCTGAAAACATAGACCAAATTTCTGCTAAACATCAATCTGTGCTTCCTGAGTGCTTTGGTGATGCCATGTGGGTGGTTGTTTCCCAGGGCATGCTGCATGAACAGAGGACTGAATCCTGCTTCTGCTGGGATCAGGTTCCAGATTTGCAGTCTCTTCCTTGTGCCTGCATATGATGTGCATGGGTGCATTTCCGTGTTTGTACCTCTGTTGCCCTGGGCTGTGGTGAAGCTTTTTCCTCAGTGGGGAACTCTGCCTTCTGAGGATGTGCTGGCTTGAGATGCTTCCATTGGAATTTTGCAAGTACTTCTCTTCACAACTTCTTTCATTGTCATGTGGAAGGAGGCGGTGGTAGATGGCAGCAGTGATGGGAGGGCCTAAGGAGACAGGTTTGTTTGTTCCATGCCTCTGGCAGAAGGGCTACAAATCCTCCCTGTGGTATGTGCAGCGAGTGGCCTGAGGCTACAGGTGACTTGTTGTGTGGTGGACCAGGAGACACTGAGAAAACTCTGAGCATCAGCTGCGTTACGTTCCAAGGCATTGGAGAATTATCCCTAGCAGAGATGCTGCAGCCCGAAGTGCAGCTGCAGCCAGCAGAGCTGCACAGGGCTCCCTGGGAGAGTGGTGTCCACAGACATCCGCCTCCTGATGTTGCCTCGGGGCTGGCTCAGGAGCTGGCTTGGCCAAGGGGCTCCTGCCTGCCTGGCTGGTGCTGCTGCTCTGAAGATGTGCAGAAGTGGTGGTGATGCTACAACTCTCACTCACAGTGTGTTTTGGCACAGTGTGTTTTAAAAATTACCTGTTTCTGTGGGGAATGATGGGTTGGCCCTTGGGGAATTCAGAGAGGTTTTATTCTCCTGTCAAGGATAGGGAAGTTAAAATAACCTTCAATGAAGTAAGTAAATAAACAAAGTTGATGAATCTCTATTCCCTTTTCGCTCCTTGCCGCCTCAGCAATCCCTCCTCTTTGTCTGCATTTCTCTCTTTCTCTTTTTCTTTCCACCTCATTTCCCCTGAAAGGTTTTCAACTTGTGAGTCGGGTTTCCCAGTGTGGGTTCACCTGCAGAGTCTCCCGGAGCAGGTGTCAGGAAGGACAGTGTGAAAGCTGCAGTTCTCCCTCAGCTTCTTGCTTGAAGGAGCAGAGAGCAACATGGGCAAGACGAACCCTTCTCAGAGAAAAATCTGAGTGTGTCGGGAGCCCAGTCACCTGTCCCTGGGAGCTCAACTTGAGAACAGGGCAGAGAAAGGTTTCTGAAGGGCAGTGTTTCCAGGTGTCCCTGGAACAGGGATACCAATGCAGCTCTGCAGCTGGGGCTGGGCCATGGGAGTCACCTGGGGCTGTGGAGAGGGGATGCACAGCCATGTGGGGCAGAGCCAAGGTTTTCTCCTGGGCTGCCTCCCACCAGACTCTGTGCTAACCAATCCCTGCCAATTAATTGGGTTCTTGGGCTTAGCTTCGTAATGATACTCAGCTCATCTCAGCTCCCACCAGCTGGGCACCAGCCAGAAAGCAGTGGTGTATGTGGTCATTTTTAGATGCTTAAAAGAGAGGCGGTCTTTTCTCTTAGTCCTTATAAAGGTGCTGATTCCTCGAGTTGACTGGCCTGTGAAGCAAGGGGCCTGGAAATTAAAGAGAATGTGTGAAGAAAGGAACTCTGCTGTGTTTCATTCAAGAGAAAAATAGCTTTCCTTATCCCATTTTTTTTTTCAAGCAATAAAAGCTACACAACTGAATAGCAAAGATAGGTCTGCTCTGGGTATTTGCATGTGAAAGTCTGGAAAACACATTTCTTTAGTTCTGTTCTTATTGGAGGTTTCTGGTTAGGGAGAAATCCTCTAAATGCTGCCTGCACTGGAGCTTCAAGGGCCCTGGGCTCTTCTTACCTGCACAGGGTATAGTCTCCTGGTGTGCCCTTTCCTTCTTCACCCCCAGTGATTGCTCAGATTGTTTGGCTGCTGGGACCCACTCTGCCCTGACTGAGCTCAGCTCAGCTACGGCTCCATGGGGCGTGCATGGAAACCAGCCTTGCAGGGGCCTGGGCAGGTTGGAGACTTCCCAGCTGGTGGGGAGCTGAATGAATGCTCTGGACGCCAGCTCCTGAAGAGGAGTGAGGTTGCCTTTGCCTGCTGAGGAAGGCTGAGATCATCCAGCAGGCTCTGTTGGAAGCAGAGCAGCTGTGTGGTGCTTTCTGTGCAAAGCTGTGGATGCAGAGGCTGCCGACAGGTGAATCTTTGGTGAGGGCAGCTGAGCTGGGAGCAAGCAGCGTTCCCGGAGCTGAGAACATGAATGTGTCCCACTTACTGATAGCCCAGTCCTTTTCCAGCCTGGACTGCTGCTCAGCTTACAGCTCCCAGGATCCCCGTGGCATCAGGGATAGTCCACCTGCCCAGGCTGGACTGCTGCCGGAGGAGAGCAGTCTGTGTTGAAGAGCCAGCCACCGCTGGCACAGGCAGTGCCTGAGGAGAGGGCAGTAGGGGCAGTGTTGGAGGGGCTGCAGGGGGGCATCTGCTTCCCCTCCAGCATGGAGCTGGCTCAGCCAGCAGCTTTCAATGGGCTTTGTTCCTGCTCCAGAGCAGTACTGTGATTACAGGATGAACATCAAGTCACAGAATCACTGTCAAAACCTAAAGTAAAGAATTTGGCTCATAAAAAATGTGTCACCCGAACAAACAGAAGAAGAGTTATGACTTGCCATTCTCCCTTCCTGGAGCCAAGGGGAGAGTGTGCCACTGTTGCACACGCTTGAGGAGCCGATAGTGGCCAAAGCGGAGCATTTCACTGCCCCTGGAGAGGCCCTTTCAGAGTTATTAGTCATAAGTTTCTATTTAATGTACTGATTAGGGCCAAGACTTGTAGACAGCCACTGACTGTGCATGTGAATTGACTTAAGCATTATTATGTACGACCATTGTCAGCTCTGCTACCCAGGAAGATTGATACACAGAATGAATCTTCTCAAGCTGTTTCTGAAAAGATTCACGATGCTGCAGTGAAAATGGCTTCCAATGGGAACCTCTGTGTACTGATGTCAGCATATATTTTATTCCCCTTGACTACAAGGGCTGGTTAGGTTATGAGCCTCCCACTGAAATGGACTCCATACAATTGCCAGATAATTGGTTCTTTTCCTTGTAGGCAGATGAAGTTATGATTCACCCCTGACTCCCCCAAGAGCAGCAGTCACAGTGCCATGGGTTGCTTATCTCTCATCCAGCTGCGCTCGCTCGCTTTCCTTTCCACCTGGCAGGGCAGAAGAGAAACCCCAAGAACAGAGGACATGGAGCAGCTGCTGAGCATGGGTTTAACCCCGGGCTTCCTGCGTGAGCAAGCAGTGGGACTGCAGGGCTGCACAGGTTGATAGGATGCTGGTCCAGGCAGGCAGGCTGGGGATGATGCAGCAGCTTCAGCTGCAGAGTGATGCTGAAAACAGGCTGCTTTGAGCATCGGTCCTTGGCTTGCGCTGCAGCCCAGCTGTCCTGCCTTTGTCCCCACAACACAGTAGTTTTCTGCTGTGGCATGTCACAGCTGCTGCTCGTGCTGGTGCTGCTCAGGGCAGAGGACATGTGGACACCTTCAAATCTTGTGCTGATTGTATCCAGAAGCAGTGAAGGCTCAGAGGGCCTTAGGAAAGAGTGTGTCTCTCTGCCCCTTGCTCCCCTCCCTGTCTGATTTGTCTTACCAAG